ATTGGCCCCCCGAGTCACCGATTGGCCCCCCGAGTCACCATTGGCCCCCCGAGTCACCATTGGCCCCCCGAGTCACCATTGGCCCCCCGAGTCACCGTTTGCCCCCGGCCGGCTAGGTTTGACAAGCGGCCAAAGGTCACGGGCGGCCAAAAGACTCCCCAAACCCCGACCGATGATCTTCCTGCAGGCGCGTCTTCACTGCCGGAGATGGTTTCCGGCTGTGTGTGTCTGTGTGTGCGTGTGTCTGTGTGTGCGTGTGTCTGTGTGTGCGTGCGCGTGTGTGTAGTTAAAAGTCAGGCGCGTCTTCACTGCCGGAGATGATGGTTTCCGGCTGTGTGTGTCTGTGTGTGCGTGTGTCTGTGTGTGCGTGTGTCTGTGTGTGCGTGTGTCTGTGTGTGCGTGCGCGTGTGTGTAGTTAAGAGTCAGGTGCGTCTTCACTGCCGGAGATGATGGTTTCAGGCTGGTTCCTGTGGCGGGAAAACAGCCAACCCACAAACCTCCGCACGTCGCCTTGTTGTATCCAGAAAGGTTCTGGATACGGTGTTCTACTTCCAGATTGTGGTGAGGAGAAAAATGTCATCAAGAGAGTCAAGTCTAGGTCAGGAGAGGTCAATGACCCCACGGGTAGGATTTAGTATAGGTCAATGACCTCCAAGGTAGAAGTTCAGACAGGTCAATGACCCCACGGGCGTTATCGGAGGAAAGATGCAGAAAACAATCCTCTAACCTTCATGGACAAAACAGTCCCGAGGTACGTCACTGGAGGGGCATAATACTGACCAAAGGGTAAAACTCAACCCTAGTTATCATGGGTTACTAGTTTTGTGCTCTCTTTTTCCGCAACGTTGCGAAGGGTAAGTGTTAGTGTTAGCGTAACTAATCATTTTATCACCACCTTATCTAAGTCTGTGATCACTGCAGTCTATCATAGCCATATTCCATCCTTTATACAAGTTAAGCACGATGATTTTTCTTGTAGCTTTACTTTTGCATTATCATCATTTCTGTGTTGACCTTTTAACCTCTTGGACGAGTGACTCAGCTGAAGAAAGATGGCGGACGCCGCCTGAAAGTTTCTACCCTTTCACCTTGGTAAGTCATGCGTATCTGTTACATCATTCCTGTCAGCTCATGTCTTATTTTATGTTTGAATAGTTGTAATTGTGCTACCTTGATTACTGCTATTATTGTTATTACCACCTACTATAGTCACAAGTACTAGTCGGGCATGATGTGGTTTGCTTGGTTTTATTTACATTATTATTTACATTATTTACATTATTACCTTCGCCAAGAAGGTTATGTTTTCAGTAGCGTTTGTCTGTGGATATGTATGTATGTGTGTGTGTGTGTGTGTGTGTGTGTGTGGTTTAGCAAGATAACTCAAGAAGGAGTGGGTGGATTGGAATGAAACTTGGTAGGTGGGTAGGTCTTCGTGAGACCTAAAAATGATTAGATTTTGGGCCCCCTGGCGGCTTTCCTAGGTACTGCAGCAGAACTTCCGGTTTTGATATCTCATGATCTGGACATGCTAGGATCACGAATTTTGGTTGGTAGATAGCTCTTGTGCTAGGGAAGAAGTGACATGAGTTTGGGTCCCCTAGCGGCTTGTTCTGAAACTGCAGGAGCATTTGTTGAAAATTGTTCGAAGGAGGATAACTCAAGAACCGGTTGACGGATTGTCATGATTTTTGGTATGTAGGTAGTTGAAGTAATGCTTGACATAATTAGATGACAATTATGCAAATCAGGAGGTAATTCGCATAATTAATGAGGAAATTCTATAAATCTGCTTTGTTCGATAATAGAACTATGAAACACTTGTGACATCTACTTGAGACCGAGAAAAACATCTGAGGATATAGATTATGTAAATAAGGACCTAATTTGCATGAATTAAGGCAAATTTTTATAATTTCATAGTTGTAACTGCTGGGAATTTCATACTTGCCACATTTGGAAGTTAAGTGAAGGTGAACATCAGTAAACATAATTATTCAAATCATGACCTCATTTGTATAATTTATGAGGAAATGCTGTAACAGCCTTTTTGTTAAGATAAGGCTGCCATTGGGTGGAGAATATGATCAACTGATATAATCCATGCAAATGAGGCTCTTATTTACAAAATCAATGATTAAAATTCATTGTATAAGTCGTCAACCGCAAGGGTTAACATTATTTGGCGAAGGTATGAGATCGTGGAACTCTTGTTTACATTATGTATTCTAGTGTCCGAACCTCCGGGACATCTCAGGTTTAATTCTGGGGATTTCTGATAAATAAATAAATGGCGTCTGTGCGGCAAGACAAAAAGACACCTACTGTACACGGTGTTCCAGCATATCTGTTGTTTTATGATCCTACTACATGTTACATGCTTTCTTATTCTGCCACATATACCACATGTTTGATAATATATTATATGTTTTATAATCCTGATACGTGTGTTGCATGTTTAATAAACCTGCTACATGCGTTACATCTTAAATAAGCCTGCTACATGTGTTACATGGATTATAATGCTGCTACATGTATTACAAGTTAAGCAATCCTGCAACATGTATTACATGATTTATAACATGCTACTCGTACATGCGTTACATGTTGGATGTGTTACATGTTACATGCTACACTGTGTTACATGTTTCATAACTTGCCTGCTACAGGCACAAAGGCACGTGTATTACATGCTTTATAATCTTGCCACATGTGTTACATGGTTTATAAACTGGGTACATGTATTACATGTGACAATGCTACATGTATTACATGTGACAATGCTACATGTATTACATGTGACAATGCTGCATGTATTACATGTGACAATGCTGCACGTATTACATGGGTTATAACCCTGCTGTCTGTTTAACATCGTCAGGCTGACTTGTTAGAAAGTTCATCCTCTCTAGGAGCCATGTCCTGCGGCTGTCCTGCCGATGTCGCCACCATGTGCGCGCCGCTACATGTGTTACATGTGTTACACGGGTTATAACCCTGCTGTCTGTTTAACATCGTCAAGCTGACTTGTTAGAAAGTTCATCCTCTCTAGGAGCCATGTCCTGCGGCTGTCCTGCCGATGTTTCCACCATGTCCGCGCGCCCACCGCGGCCGTGCCGAGCAGGACCAGCGCGACTCCCGCCGCCTCCAGCAGGTTCGGCACGTGCGACTGGAACACGGCGTCCAGCAGGATGGTGAACGGGATGACCAGAGTCATGAGCGCCGCCGTCACGCCGGCCTTCTCCTGCCCCAGCACCAGTTTCACGGACAGAGACGAGAAGGTGTCGCACAGGCCCAGCCCGATCACGTAGCCGGCGGTCCGTGCCGACATGGCCCAGTGCGGCGTCTCCA